TAATTAGAGTGAAAGTGTGAGAATAAGGCTTTTGTGTAGCGTTTCCCACAGATGACACCAATTGATGGTGCACAATTTGATACTTCCTTAAGAGGCGACCTACTTCCTCCGATCCGACCTGACTTCGGTTAGTGACCTGCCTAACTTGTTGGGCGACCTCCTCCTTAAGCAAACTATCGTCTACGACTTCCCCAGGATCACATCACAATTTCGGAAGAGCCAATTATCACCTTGCTCGCTTTGGGCGCGATTGGATAAACACTACTCGCTTATGCAGAGTCTGCCTCTAGGCGTGAAACCACCTCCAAACTAGACGAGCCAAAGATCTTGGACACGCTTCATGAGGCTCACTACAGCTTGCCTATATAAAGGCCTCTCCTTCAACCTCACAAGGTACGCATGATTTAGCTCTCTAGGCACTCTAGCTTTCTTGCATTCTTGCAATCAAATACTAATTCGCTAACTTAAGCATCGGAATGCCCAACCCGGGTGAAGCAACCCGAACACTCTGATATTTGTCTTCTTGTAGTTCAGTCATGCAACCTACTCAGTCCAACACCCAAGCTGTCCACTAGCAGGGAGTGTCAAATTGCGCATCATCAAGAATCATACACGCAACAAACACACATGGATTTGGTCCACCAGGTGGAATCGATCCCCTTTGGCCTTTGTGTGGTATGTAAAGATAATTTTGGTTCAACTTCAAGAGGGAAGTGTAATGAAGGTACGCTGTTACAAACTATTAACCCAATGTTCATAACTAGCTTGGTTCTTCCTTTTTCTTACAGAAATGTTTTTCTTTGATGGCTGGTTGGTTTGGAGTTTGGTGGATTGATCCACAGTCCATTTATAAAATTGAAAAGGATTGACAGGTAGGTGGTCTAGTCTAGAGTCTAGAGTGTAGGCTCTGCCTGCAATGCAACTACCTAATTTTAGAACTTAATTTGGATGGATGAACTGAACTGAATCAAATTGGAGAAGACAATGCAAGGAGTGAGAAACCAATAGGGGTGGGGGAGAGATGCATATAGCCACATCCAGGTGGTCCCAATCTGATCTGATGGATAATATAGTGATGTAGCTCAAATATGAAGATAGATAATGGAAGAAATTTGCTTGAAAAAAAAAAGAAAAAAGAAAAAGAAAATTGGATGAAACTTTATTAATATGAGATGCCTTACAATATGAGACAATAAGGTTGGGGACTCATTCACCCATGGGAGGACTTTCTCAACTCTCAAAGAAGGTTCTAAGCTTCTCAAAACAAAGGGAATAACTTGAAATTAATTATAACTTGATGCCTCTAACTTGATGCCTCTAACTTGAAATTAATTATAAGGATTTATATAGAGAATAAAAACTAACTTTTAGAATATTAAATGAAATATTGGTTATAAGAAATTCACTAACAATTAGTCATAGGATTCTATATTTCTAAGATTATGATTGTGAATTGCATCATAGATGATGTTCACATCACCCCTTGGGCTGATCAATGAATCCCTATTTCTCAGAGAGAGAGAGAATACAACCCACATTTGCTACAATAGTGGCATAGCCCTGTGATGAAACAACAAAATAAAAGCCTCATGGGTATTTTTTGTTTTATCCTTGCAGTGCGATAGTGTCATAGCACCCACAACTGGCTTGCTCCTTGTCAGTTGTGGTCACATCTATTTACGCTAATGATGTATTTGGTTGTAATGCAAATAAATTTACATTGTTGCAAAATCATGATAGTGTAAATGATTTGAGTGTAAATTTTGACTTAATTTTGTTTTAAATTTTATCTTATTTTGTTTGATTGGAATACAAATGAATTAAATTAAGACATGAAGTAGAATAAAATAAAATGCAAAACAAAATTAAATGAGAATGTGCATATTTTATATTTGCACTCTCAGTAGTGCAAATAAAATTGCACCTAAGTTGGGCATTATAGTATCGCAAACTAGATAAACAATGTTAGTTCTTTTTGCGTGGCGCAATGCCGATGCTTCTCTGATCTCTATACAAAGCTGGGCATGGTGACGTGATTTCCCAAGCACTGCATGGCAGTAAACAGCAATCAATGTCAGTAACATGCAAATTACTTCTTTTGCGGGGGTGGGACCAGGTGCAATGGTTAGGTTGTTTTATTGTGAAATGGTGACCAGAGTTCAAATATATGTAAAGAGCTAAGGTTGTGTACATCTGTACTTTCTCAAACCCCACATTGTTGAGAACTTGTGCACTGGGCTGCCCTTTTAGGTTTTTTGCCAAACGGCCCACACCCTGGAACTCGAGTCTGGCTTTAGTCGCCTTGGCTCCAAATAACTCGCCCCTGTGGCTGTGGTCCTCACCTATCAGCTCAGCTGGACCAAAAAAATTCAGAATTTAAAGAATATTATGGCCATTTTGTTTCATTACATTTAATTGGATGTTGAAATTAAAACTGTTTGCCTTTTCATTTTGAGTCTGAATATGATCCAAAATTTTTCGAGGGGTGTTTCAACTTCTCCATAGTTGAGGTAGTAAAGTGACGCAACCCCATAGTTTGGAGGGGTTTTGAAGTTTAGCTTTTTTCGTCTTGCTAAATGAGTTAGATGACTCAGATTAGACCTATGTGCATGGTCATTCTCAACATTGTCAGACTCATGAGATTGGATCAGACAGCCTAAGCAGTGACCCAGTAAGCCTTTCAAGTCTCTAGACCCATTTTACAACCTTTGCAGCTGCAGATTAAGGAATATCTCCATATTTACATGTTTTTATTATGGCCAGATGTTCTTAATGCACAGTGATGGGTGTGTGGTTTTTGTGATATATCATTTTAAATTTTTAATGCCCCACACCAGCCATAAGCCCATAAAATGTATATATATGGCCCATAACTATGACTGGTGTGAAGCGTTATGATTGGTCCTACAGCCCCAAATAAAGCTATTAGTTCAGCTAATCCGTTCTTTTCACTAAAATGAAGAAGAAGCTATGCTACTTAAGAAAGAAGTTTGACAAAAGATAAATGGGTACAATTATGATACCAAAAAGAGTAATATTGGAAAAATTTAGGGAGAATGATGGTTCAGCCCAAGGTTAGAATTTTTAGGTCCAAAGTATAATTGAGGTAGATGCCAGCTCGAAATTGATGTCAATTTATAGACGGGCATTGATGTATAAAATGGGGATTTTGACATTTTGAATATTTATAACTCTATAATGGAATTTAGAAATCAGCATTTTAAGCCATGAATTGCTATGGGGGTGACCAATCAAGTGATATTCATCAAAATTAATGGGGTGATTTGATTGGTCAAAACTCATCCGGTATCATAGATTTCCCAAAAGAAATAAATTTCTTTTCTTGCTAAACTCTTCCTCTCATTTTCCGTCCTTATCCAAAGAAATGATTTCGGAAAAAGAAAACAAAAAAACTCAAGCTGCAATAGGCCAGTAGAAAAAGAAAAGGCTGCCATTGAATTGGATGCCAGAATGAAAGAGGGTCATATAGTCTTTTAATGGTAAGCAAGTAGGATGTTGATAAGCTCGGAATCAAGTGGACACCTCATCTTCTTTTCTAAATCCAATCCCCGACAGGCAACAATCCCTTGTCCCCAATTCCACAACTAGCTACTTAGTTTTGACAGTTAAAAAATGTATTCTGTCAGTCTGAAGTTAGTTTGGCATACATACGTCTTTCCGTGCCTTTTCGTACGATAATAAAATGTGAAAAACGCAAAAAGCTTCATTTATGGTTTTTTGAAATCAGTCCGAAATGGACTTAAATCTTTCATGAACTAAACGGGAATAGACCGAAAATCGATCTACCCAAATTGTAAATAATTAAAAGACTGCATGGAAAGACGCATCAAACAGGCCTAAAGTAAGGAACCATAGTTATTATCATTGTGATTAGTTTGTCCTCAGCGGTGTGATTGTTAAGTTTTATTTGATCTCTCTAGCTAGACTCTAGCTATGATAATCCATGTTGGGAGTCAAAAGGTTCGTTTTTGCTAAGTGCTCTCTTACCCATCATCCGCCTCGCCAAACTAAAAAAGAGTTTGGATCTCTTGCCCATAAGAACCATACCCACACTTACACTTGATTATTGCAGCTGTTCATTGGGAACATCTTCCCTATTTGCATGTTATCATTTTTGGGGAGATGTTCCAAATATACAGCTGTAGTGTCAAGTGGGTAGGAAATCTGAATTCACTAAAAACTACCCTAAAAATGATTTCACATGCATGGATTAATTAATTAAAATTTGGTTGCTTGACCACCCTTTATTAGGTTTCTTTCTTAATCCTTCCCATTACTTAGGGGGCGTTGTACAACATAAATGTTTTCTATATCTATTTTTAATTTTAAAATCATCACATAAAAAAAAAACACAAAAAGAAAACATATTCTTGTACTGTATTTTTTGTTTTAAAACAAAGCAATAAAAAAAATGATTTTATTTCTAAATATGGTTGCATGTTTTTTCAAATCATCAAAATATGGAATGGTTTTCAAAACAAAAACAAAATTTATAGTGTAAAAACGATATATAATCAAGAACATGTCTTCTATGTTTTTATTTTAAGGAGCTATTATATTTTGATTTTGAAATATAATTGACAAAAAGAAAAATAATTTAAATCAGAAAGCACCTACCCCCAGTGCTCCAGCAGGGTGCAACTACAATATCTAAGAATAAAAACATTATTGGGAATGTCATTAATGAAGAAGGGAGTATGTTATTTTATTGGTTGAGAAGTGAAGATATATATAGTAGGTAGAAGGTGAAAATTAATGGTAGAGTTGGAGGCATGCAAGAAATGCAGAGGAATTATTGTATAGATTGCTTCGCCGACATACAATTCAAATCCGTCTCTGCTTTTAGTGGAGGAAAAAAGGGGGAAGGACACAGGACAGACGTGTTTCTTTGAGGTGGCTAATGCTTATTGCATTTCATCATCACTACATATCTATAAAGCTCTTGAGTCTTGAGTGGATTGCACTATAACAGTAGCTTTCTTGGCCCCATTTAATATCTTCACGCTGAATAACAATAAAACCACAGGGAGTACCCCTTATCCTCCCTCCCCCCTCTCAAAAACTCTAATGCACGCAAAGCATCCATGCCATCTCAGATCAAGACCTTTCTTCTTCTCCTCTTCACCATCATACTCTTCATGCCCTCTTCTTCTTCTTCTTCTTCTTCAAGTGAGCAAAGTTTTTCATCTAATCAGAGGTTAACTAATTATGTGATCACATATATAAATTAATTTTGCCTTATTTTATTGCAGACAACCTCCATGCCTTAGAGGACGGTAGGAAGTCTACACTTCCATCAGTTCAAGAGGTAATTCTCTATTAAACATGCATGCAGGCCGGATGTGGTTACCATATGCATAAGTATTGCTTTTATTTGTATATGTTGCTCAATCAATTTCTTGCTTAACAATTATATCCATAGTTTGTTTATTTCTGTAAGTTCAATATGCAATACCCAAACCATCAGCAATATTAACTCAATTTTGATTACTGAAATGGGGTATAGAAACAATGAAGTTCTTTAACAAATATCATGCTAGCTATTCTTTATATAAGATGCCACTTTAGTCATGTTTTTTGTTGAAAATTGATATTCCAAATAGGCCAAAGGGATAACCCATAATACCCACTATTCCTTATAATCTTTCCATCAATTGAACTGCAACTGGCACTTCCATCCTTACCCATTGTTTCTTAATTAAGTCGGTCTGGTGCTGCATTTAATTTATAACTTAAGCCAGGGTTTTTTCTCTCCTATATATATATATATATATATATATATATATATATATATTTTTTTTTTTTTTCATGCCTTTAGTTATATTTTCACCTTGAAGTTGAAACCAATTAATATCAGTACCTTACGAAAACAAAACTTTTTAATAATTAAGGAAATACTTTTTCACCGTAATTAATATATTTTAGAGGTTTTGCTATATATAGAAGCGAAACGGAGGGATACTTTCCACCACAATAATCTAGTTCGCCCATATACGTAATGATGTCTTTTAGCAGTTTCTTGATATCGTAACGTAATAGTGATGATCACCAATTTACTGAGGGCTCGTGATATGGGGAAAATGTCTCTCTATGGCACTGTTCTTTTGCGGTTTTGCCAGGTAGGGCAGGAAAATGTAGGAAAAACCTTTATAAACCTTATTGTATAAACTTCCCTATATTTTCCTACCTTTTCTTTCAAAGCAAACATAGGCATAGCTTAGGTGGGTAAACAATTTATATTCACATGCCGACAATGCTCTCTCCCTCCCACCGCTCTCTTTATTCAGATTACCAAAAACATATAAACGTATAAAAACACTGACCAATTTTTACCTGAAAAACATTTTCCTGGATAAACCTAATTACCCATACAATAAAAAGGAACGGAGCAATGCGTGCATCTCTCAAATGCTTTAGTTCCAAGTACTGAGATGATTTCTCTCTAACTACAAAAGAAGAAATGGTCCAATTCATGGTGAACCGTACCATTTAATTTCCTTTTTTAATATAAATGGAGAAAAGATTTTTTGCCGGTATTAATTAGTCCTTCTCTTTTCTATCCACAGTGATCGGTGAGCATATATTAGGGTTAAAATTAACCATGGAACATGGATCACGGCCCTCCCCCTTGAATTAGATGAAGTGACATAAAATGGGCCCAGCAACACACTCAAGGCCATGATTTAACCCAGCGTTGCTCCAAACGGGAGCAGCTGATTTCTCCTCGTATGCAAAACTAACAAACAAGTATATTTAGAAGAAGATACCGTAAGGTTATATTGGTTTGAGGGAAAAAGTGAGGAAAGGAAAAGTAAGAAAAGTCTAGGGGTTCAAGTTTCAACAGCCAGTGGTTGTGGGGTGTGGAGTGTGGAAAATGGTTAATACATGCATGTTCGGGCCGGATTTCCTTTTGTATTGCTTTCTGCTAACACACGCTAACAATTTTGTGGTGAAGGGTGGTTCTGTGCAAGTGGTGAAGACAAGGAAGCTTATGACAGTTGTTACTGCGGTGCAAGATTATGATTATGCAGAACCCAACCCTAAGCACGATCCAAGAAAAGGGAAGCCTGGAAGTGGTGGCCCCAACACTCCTTGACCACTTATCATCTTCCTCTCATCAATCATCACTATTTTGAGCTGTTTCTTCCACTCTTGTTATTAATTAATAAATAATCTCTCTCTCCCTCTCCCTGTTGCAATATGAGGAGATTGATGACAGGAATATAATGTGTAATGGAATAAATTTGGCGTTCTTGTGCGCGCAGCATATCCATGTTCATTCCAATAATGCAAAATGAGTTATTGATGTCTACAAAAAGCGCAACAACATTATCTAGATCAAATTATTAGACTCTATAAGCTGCTCACGTAGATCGCTAGATGCTTCAGAAAATGGTCGTCCCTGTAGCCTGCTGTATGTGATGCATTGAGTTCAAGTGCAATTATTTTTATCATCTCAGTAAAGGCGCCAGAGCGTTTGTTTTACACGTGTTTTCTTTTTTGAAAAACAAAAAGTAAAAACACAAAAAAAAAAAAAAAATCATTTTGGAAGATATGAAGGCTGATTCGGCATTTAAAGTGTTTGGACTTATTTTTAGCGAAAATTTGCGATAGATATCTGTACTTTAGACGTGTGTTAATTTAATACCCGAATTTTAAAATGACCTAAATTTTTATTTTTACAACCACCTAATACCTCACGTTAATTTACCGTTAAATATCATGAAAAAGACACTAATACCTCTTAAATTTTATCAATTTTTTTTACTGTTCATCGATTCCTTCGTTGAACACCACCACTGTTCCCCACTATTATCCTAAGACAAAAAATCGAAATAGAGCTAGCTAATAGAATCGTCTCTTGCCATCTGAATTCAAGTTTGGACATAACCCAAATGCTTCATTAAAAATCAGAACCAAAAACAAACACACCAGAAACCCAAATGCTTCATTAAAAACCAGAACAAAAAACAAACAC